AAGAATAACATACAACTTTCCAGAAAAAAGAAAAAAGATTATATATATAATTTTTATTGATCTCATCAACTAATTGACAATTTCATTATTTAAAAATACGGATTGTGTTAAGTATATATTAGGGTACGTTTGTAGAAATCGGAGCACAATAAAAGACTAGTAGTTTTCCCATTTTAGTTAAAGGTGCTTGTAATTGTTTTGATTTTTTTCTCTTCTTTTATTTTCATTTAACAATCAATTGCATTCTATCGAAGCCTTTTAATTTACGAAAAAAAATCTGGCTTAAAGGTCGTTAATCCCGTTTTTAAAATAGTATTGCAGAAAGTCTCGTCCGGGGTTCAACTCTCTTCTGAAATTTTTTTTTTCGAAAATCGCTGCTTTATTTTGTCATTTGTATTGCATTGAATAAACTCTCTTAGTCATTAATATATAATTTTTATATAATATATTTTTCTATTATATAAATATAATTTTTCCTTATATAATTTTTCTAGATCGTCCTATTTCTTGGATGCCGCTTGTTATGCTTCGACATAGTATTTACGATGCTTATATTATTGTACGGGAGCAGGATAACTCAATGATTAATGCACTATGGTTCTACATGAGTTAGGAGTCTGTTTTGCAGTCCACTTATCCTTTTTCAAGTTAAATCACTTTCTTGTACAACCTTAGACCAAGAACCAGTACGGTTCTAGTACTTTTTCAAATTATTAAACCTCCAATGGTTGTATTTATACAATTTTTTTTTTAGTTTGGATTAATATAATTTTTTTTTACGGTTGACAATTTCATATTTCCTCTTGAAATTGTCTTAATTTTTTTTATTAATAGTTCCGTCTTTAATATAATATAATTTTAAAATCTTGTTTTTACAATTTTAGTTTCATCTGCATATCATATGAATTCGTTAACAGTGACCAAATATGCATTTGGATATACATTTATAATAACATTCTTCTTGCGACTCTAATTTTTTAAAGACTCGTCTCCCCCCCTTTGAACAATTTCGCTTGAGGTCATACACAGACCGGGTTTGAAACTATTGTTGACTTAGTAAGTTTGGCTTACAAATGAAATTTTCGGGTCATACGTCACTGTCTTGTGGACTCCACACGAACTGATGAGAACACACAATTCGGAGAGACCTCTGTTTATTAACCCGAACAATGTCAACCTCACTGATTTGACTAATAAAGATTAAATGTATAATTGCCAAATGCCTTCTTTTAAAGCACCTTTAATTTCATTTATTTTAAGTAATTAACTTCCTCTCATTATGATGAATAATATAGAATGGCTGATTTCAAGTATGGAAAAATTTCATAACTGACTAAGTGAAAAGAAAAAAATGTTTTTTCGTATTGAAATAGAATTTACGGAAATAATAGATAGAATATGGTGAACGCACCAGTTATGGACAGGAGGCCCAGTGATCGACAGGTTGGACTTTAAATGTAAATGATAAGCTTCCTTGTTGATTTGAAGGTTCCAGTTTTTTCTGGATTGAATAACAATGCCCTCTATTGACAACAGTATGAACAAAGTTCCCAAAAGAAAATTTTAAAATGCCTATCATTGTTGTTTCTCTTGTGGGTAAGATCAATGTGTTTCACTAGCGGATCCAGGATTTAATTTTGGGGGAGGGGGCTTCAGCCCGAAAGTGGTTTTTTTCATAAAAATAACGATAATTACTATGGAAAAGATGAAAGAAACTAACTACCTGTATGAAATGGTGTTTAAGTGATTCCTAAAGCCCCTTTAAATGTAATTACACAAACAATAATACTTTAATTTAAGAGATACTTTTTTAATATTTTTTTCGATAAAACATGGCTATATTTTACCATTTTGGGGGGGGGGCTTCAGCCTGGAAGCCCCCTCCCCCCCGTAGATCCGCCCGTGTTGTGTTTCATACCTGCCTACAAACAGTTTTTCTAAGAGTTAGTGAAAATTTGTGTTATCTTATCTTTATAGTTAAATAAAGATTTTAGAACTTTTCTAAGATATGCCCATTACTGGTACAGACCCCCTGTTCATTACTAGAACAATTGAATTTCGGGGTATCCATCACTAGTGCAAAAAAGTTTTTTTTTTTTTAATAGAGATTATATCTGCATAACTAATATTTTTTTTTCAATTTTAAAGTGTAGAATAGAAATAGGAGACCTTAGAGATTTTAAACGCCCAACGGAGAAGCTCATAACTATAATAATTACGGCGGTATAAGTTAAAAAAAGACAAAAATTTAGCATAGCTATGTCCATCACTGGTACGCTTACCCATGTATATCTTTGAGAAGCTGAGGATTTTAGAGAAAATGATATCTAATATATACAGCCATAGAAGTTATCAAAATTAAGCGTGAAAGCGGTTTGTGATATTTTGATGGTTTTAATGAGCTTCGCATTCATTAATATGACCCAAATTCAGAAATGTGTTCTTCAAGGTTCAACACTATTAAAAATTCACTTCAAAATCTCTTTGAAATCTCTCAAAGTAGTAGTGATAAGTGAAAGTTGTGTGATGCGCGGACCAGATTTTTGTATATGATTACAATAAAATATGAACTATGACACATGCAATTAAAGATATTTAGTTTTTTAGCAGATTGGTATCTACCCTGAAAATATTACGTCTTTATTACATTTTATTGAATTATAAGTATTTGCCTTAATGAAATATGGACTACATACGAGTAGTAAATAAATATTTAATTAAAATGTTTACATCATAAATTATTTCAAGAAATGACGTTAGTAAAAATATTCTTATTCCTTTCTGTTTTTACGAAAGAATGATCAAATAAAAATTTATTTTTTATTTAATTTCGATTTCATGTTGATAATATACATATATCCTGGTGGAATGATTTCTCAAATTAAAATATTTAAGGTTTTTTTTTTTATCTTAAATTATAAAATATTTAATGAAGAAAATATGATTGAGACAATATTGATAGAGAATTTTTTTTTTATTTGACTACATAGGGTACATAGGATTTTGTTAAGAATATTGCATAACTGGGTCGTCTGATCACTAAAAGGGCAATCTCCTCAAAGTTATTCGGGTATATTTTTATTTTTAGATCCTTGCCTATGTGTTTAATAAAGCTGGAATTCATTTTAGGAATCGTGGGAGGAAAATGATGCTTAAAAAGTTTATGTATGTTGTATAGCATTTCATAAATTCATTCTTGTTTTCATAAAAACCCTTCTCAATAAAACTCAACAATTTTATAACCGTACTTTGGGTATATTTTTCGCATTAATTATCTTCATCGCATAACATTCTGATTTTTCATTGACTAAATTAAAATGGAAACCATCCAACAGCAGAAACAAATATTTATTTTAATAATAAAAAAGTGGTTTGAAATTTACTACCTAAGTCCACCGGGAACAATATACTTTTTGTTCTCACCTTCCCGTAGTTCCGCCCCTGATATGAAATTCTAAATTATGGTGATGTAAATTTGCCTCATCTCCACGATCAAAGCAGATTATAGCTTAAGTTTTTGTTAAAATAATTAAAAATAATAACGATGGAGAGATGGTTGACCGTGATATAATATGGGAAGGAGTTGATCGGGTGGTGCGGTCAAATAAATACTAAATTATACAAATAGTATTATTTAATTTTTGCCCCATTTTGCCCAGGTCTTCATCAGGTCTGCAAAAGATACAAAACATGGTGAAAATAAAATAAATGAATATAAGTAGATATAAAATAAGAAGAAGTTGTCTGATAAAGAAATAAAAGGATGATATCAGAGATATAGTGGGTGACAATGTAGTTAAAATATCAAGCATTATATATATAAAAGATACAAAGAAAAATGGAAAATAAGTATGAATAAAAATAGAAAACAAACGAGACATTACATACTTTACATGCTATATTCTCCTTTGTATTCTATTTTTATTCATACTTATTTTCCATTTTTGTCTTTATCTTGTATATATATATAAGTTATGGTTAGAGGTAAGACTGTATAATAATTAATCCTATCCATTAGTTGTAAACAAGGCATAATACTATATATATACCATTACTGGGAAAATAAAGGCAGTCTTTATCAAGCAACCGAGTGTGTCATTCGTATGCTTTCTTTCTTTTTTTTTATTATTTCCTGTTCGGACAGTCGTAAGTGGTGCCGAAACCCGCGACCTTTAGATTTAGTCGAGGAGATAGTTTTTTTTCTTCCTGCCTCTCTTTTATTCACGTCACGAGAAATAAAAAAAAGAAAGAAAGGATACGAAATGACACACTCGGTTGCTTGATAAAGACTGCCTTTATTTTCCCAGTAACTATATATATATATATATATATATATATATATATATATATATATATATATATATATATATATAGTATTATGTCTTGTTTACAACTAATGGATAGGATTAACTATTATACAGTCTTACCTCTAACCATAACTTATATATGTATATATATATATATATATATATATATATATATATATATATATATATATATATATATATATATATATATATAATACTTGATATATTAACTGCATTGTGCATTGTCACCCACTATATCTCTGATATCATTCTTTTATTTCTTCATCAGAAACCTTCTTATTTTATATCTACTTATATTCATTTATTTTATTCTCACCATGTTTTGTATCTTTTGTAGCCCTGATCAAGACCTGGAAAGTGGGTCGGCAAAAATTAAATAATACTATTTGTATAATTTAGTATTTATTTGACCGCACCCCCTCCAGATCAACTCCTCATAATAATGTTCCGTTTTTATTAGCAGATTACTTGTGATAATAAACCAAACCTTTTTCTTAGTACGACGATGTTCTAATGACTTTTCACAGTCTTCGTAGCGTCTTCACCAGCACTTCTCTACGATTATTTGAAGGAGTTTAGTTACAATGACCGATGACCGCTCAGTTGTCACGGTTAGTTTCCCTGAACGCTCTCAGGTTTTTGACAGAAGACAACCTAAGAGATCCCACCTACCTCTGGCGATCCGAAGTCGGAGAGCCTGGGTGTGGCAGAGGTTCGCCACTGTACCTTTAACTGTAGGGACGGCCGCCTGGAGGTGAGCCCGGTGGAGATGGCCTCGCTGGAGGAGTACCTCGACTGGATGCCGCCGCAGCTGTCCCGCTGGCCCCAGTCGCTGGAGGTCTCGACCTGGAGGGCCGGCGAGAGGAAGATGTGTGTCCTGAGACCGTAGTGGTCCTCGAGGGCGGTCGACGGTCGCGGCTTCTGCTTCACCTTCCCGCGGCCCCCCCGCACCGGCCCCTTCCCGAACCGCTCCTTGCTGGCCCCTCCCCCCTCACTGAGGTTCTTCCGGAACAGAATGTTCATCACTGACCCTTCGCTGACTCCCACCTCGTCCTAGGCACCCCTCTCCTGTCGTGTTTGTTTAAAAATAAACTCCTTCTATTTATATTATATCTCACTCTAATTTCATATATGTTTTTATTTTGGATGATCTATATGAAGAGTTTTATCGAATATCTCCATAGATTACACGTGCGAATCTACGGAGGGAGGAGAGGCTTTCGGGCTGAAGCCTCCCCTCCCCCTCCAAAAATGGTAAAATATAACCATGTTTCATGGAAAAAAAAAAAATAATAATACCTCTTAAAGTATTATTGTTTGTGTAATTACATTTAAAAGGACTTAAGGAATCACTTAAATACCATTTCATATAGGTAGTTAGTTTCTTTCTGTTTTTCCAAACTAATTATCGTTTATTGTATATAGGTGTGCATGTGTTCTTTTTATTTATTTATTTTCAGGTTATTTTATTCTTATTTATTGTATATATATTATTTTTCTGTACAATTTATTGTACATATAGTGTGAATGTGATCTGTGAACTCTATAATAAATGTCCTAGAGACAGATTGTAATATTTATCAATAAATAAGTTAAAAAAAAAAATCGTTATTTTTATGAAAAAAAAAAAACCTTCGGGCTGAAGCCCCCCAAAAATTGAATCCTGGATCCGCTAGTGATTGATTATTTACTTTATATATAACGAGTTATTTGTTGCTAGTTTGTCTAACTAGAAATGGTGTCTCAAATTTGACATAAAAAAATGATAAATGAAATTTATAAATAATGAGAATCTGCCCTGATATCAACAGGTAACTAAATTTAAATATTTTACTTTAGATATCTTTTATGGTTCGTTTATTAATGAATTCATCTGTTCCATGCCTTCAGCAATAGAAATAATACACTTATTTATATTTGGCTTGTGAAGGAAAGCTACAGTCAGTGGGTCACCGATTCCAAATATTTTAGGCCATACTACATCAAAAAATATTTGATAAATATCGTTCCTACAAATGGGCAATAACATTCCAATCGATTTCTTTTTTCTTTACCATTGTATTAAATGAGTTAAAATGGAAGGAGATGGTCCGGGGTGGCGGTCATAAATAGGCTGAATAGTGGCAAAACTATTTTATTAAAAGCCAAAGGCTTTTAATAATATAGTTTTGCCATTATTCTGTCTATTTATGACCGCCACCCCGGACCATCTCCTTCCTTTGTAATGCAACGGTCAACTATTAAATATTCTAAATGAGTTATAATAAAACATAAATTACAAAAACCAAAAAGCGCCTCCAGTTGAATAGGCCAATTAAATTTTTGTTATGAAGTAGCAAATTAGATTAGTTTTTAGTGTTCTTTGAAACTCTTAAATACGAATTTTGACAGAAATCAACAATTACAATATATAATACTTGATTTACTTACAAGTCAAATATAAATAACACACTTATTTATATTTGACTTGCAAAGGGAAGCTACAGTCACCGATTCCAAATATTTTTCGGCCATATTACATCAAAAAATATTTGATAAATATCCCGGCGTTCGTTCAAACGGGCTCTAGGAACTGAAGAAATATATGTAATTGCGTACAAAATTCATGTTATTTTTTTTTTTGCCTTTGCTTTACCCGGATTATTTAGTTATTATATACCAAGCGATTTATTTTTTGGTAGAATAAGAAAAAAATATAGACCATTGAGTTATAATGAAATATAAATTACAAAAACTAAAAAGCGCCTCCATTTAAATAGGTCAATTAAATTTTTGTCATTAAGCAGCAAATTAGAATCGTTTTTAGTGTTCTTTGAAACTCTTAAATATGAATTTTTATAGAAATCAAAAATTATAATATATAATAATTGATTTGCTTAGAGGATTTTGTTTCCGGCCGATAAAGAAAACGTTCATGACATCACAGGATTTTCTTCAAATTTAACGTCACTGAAGGTTTTGGAAACCTGAATTACTGCTCTTCTAATCCAGATAGATAACTTTTAGATTTCTAGAATTTTATATTAAAAAATAGAATTAAGGAACTAGAATTAGGAATAAAAAAAAAAAAAAAATCAATACGTTTTTATCGTTGAAACGTAATAATAAAAATTTTCAAATGTTTGCGTCCTGACAATTTATAACGCATACAAAAAAAATCTGATGTGCGCAACACACAACGTAACACACTTATCGCTCAACTTTGAATAGAAATTATTTTATGGTCATGCTGGGCTATTGTTTTTAATTGCATTTTTAACCTAGCTAAAGCTAAAAGATTTCAGCTAACAAATCATAAATACCATTAAAATAACAAGAGTCCTATTTATTATATCAACCGGTTATATATGTGATTATAGATTGCACGATTATGAACTGTACGATCCTTTGATTACGGATTGTACGACTATTAATTATTAAATTGTTATTTGACATTGCAAAGTTTATTAAAACGGAATTAAGAGATTTGCATTGTCTGTCATAGACAGGTCAAAAGTTGTCACACTGAATGTAAGTGGATACTGTTGGAATATCGCAAAGGGAAAATCCATCAAATTATTCATTAATTTAATTTTCTAAAAAGTTTACGTTTATTAAGAAAATTTCTTTCAATTTCCTTGAAAACACATGATTTATTTTAAATAATGTTAGTTTTTAAAAATTATTATTTATATTTTTTTCATCATTTTCCGTTACCTTCTACAACTTTCTATATTGTATATTGTCCTTTTTTTTAATTCTCCGCATTCCAACGATATATTATACTTATACCTTCTGACTGTTATTTCCGGATATTCATTTTCAAGCTAGAAAAGTATTTTTCTTTTTCTTTTCAAATTCTTCCAAAAGTTATATTTAGCATTTTTCTATATATTCTAACCACGAAATAGTTGTTATTTATAATAAACCAAATTAAAGGTACTTTAGAGGAAGGCTATTATTAAACCACAGGCGGATCTACGGAGGGGGCTTTCGGGCTGAAGCCCCCCCCCCCCAAAATGATAAAATATTACTATATTTTACAGAAAAAAATATTAAATACTATCTCTTAAAGTATTCTTGTTCCTGTAATTACATTTAATAGGACTTCAAGAACCACTTAAACACCATTTCATCATAGGCAGTTAATTTCTTTCTTTTTTTTTATAATTAATTATTGTTATATGTATATGAAAAAAAATCTTTCGGACTGAAGCCCCTCCCAAAATTAAATCCTAGATCCGCTAGTGTATTAAACTACAATAAGTTTAAGGTTATACATAACATATACTTTATACATCCATGAAATGATTTTATATTTTACTTCTTCTTTCACATAAGTGCAATGAAATAGTTTTTTAAACAATGGCATTGACTTGATTAGGTGGATTTAAAATATTTTTTTAAACTTAAAAATATTTTAAAAGGTTACATTTAGTTAGTAAATTTCATTAATTTCCAAAACTGAAAACTCAGATTCGAAAATTTTACGATTACAATATTAAGTAATAATATATTACATGTATAGGTAAATTAAAGTAAAAATTGGTAGCAATCGGTGACCCACTGACTGAAGCTTCCCCTTATTATTTATGTATGGGATTCAACATAGTTCTGCTAGCACAGTACACGGAGAGGATTCAGATGTTATCAAGCGTGAAGATTAGTATCTAGAAGATAGGACGGGAGGGATGTAAGTCGGGTATGAAACTGTGAGGTCTGTTGGAAGTAAGCCAGGCGATAAGGCTAGGCTCTAGTTCCAGCAATTTAACTCTCTCCTCTTCTCATAGCGAGGGGTTGATTGTGTCCCGAAGCAACTTGTTCTCGTTCTGGTGAATCATATTTTTAGGGACTAATGGAGAACTTAATCTTTGTCAGAAGGATGGTCAATTATTGGTTTAGTGAAGAAATTCATGTAAAAGAACTCTAGAATCATCTTGATTAAAAAAAAAATATTAGGCGGTTTTTTTTTTATTATTGCCTTGACCATGCTACAATAAATATTAAATATATAAATATAAATAAATACATATTCTGGATGACAATTCCTAATGAATTATGGAATGTTTCTTGTCTGTTTTCAGATAACATAAATATCAATTTTTGGACTATTAATGCTTACATAACAGATACATAAATGAAAACTGGTTTGTTAATATTCAGTGGTACAGACCCCTTTTCATCAAATTATCAACATCCTCCTGAAACTTCGTGAATAGCTTCATCTCATCATAACCTACAACTATTTTATTTAAGAAAATTCTAGGAATTGGCGCGTTTTCAATCTGGAGATCGTCATACTTGTCTATTTAATTAGGTACTAAAACCTCGTAAATACCGATTTTCTTTCCAGTTGAATTGTAAGATAATTTCACATCAAAATCGTGCAAAAAGGTGGCCTACCAAAATAGTGGACCGTTTAGCGTGAATTACACACTCAACATTTAAAATAACCAGGTTATATATGTCAAACGGTCCAATATTTTTGTAGGAAAATTTTTTTCTCGATTTTGTGATAAAATTATCTTACGATCCAATTAGAAAGAGAATTGGTATTTACGAGTTTTTGTTACCTAATTAAATAATCAAAGTTTGCCGATCTCCAGATTGAAAATGCAATAATTCCAAGAATTTTCCTAAATAAAATAGTTTAGGTTACGATGTAATGAAGCTATTCACTAAGTTTCAGGAGGATGTTAATAATTTGATAAAAAGGTGCCTGTGCAACGCACTATAAAACTAAACTTACTTTATTATCTATCTGATGATAAATTGGATATTTATAATATAATTATCTTCTGATAGATTATTTCCATCTACGTTCCCCTTTTCCTGATATCGACAAACCTTTAGTTTTTTTGCTTTCTGCTGAAATGTACTATAACTAGTTTACTGCAGTGCATGTGCATCATGCTATACTTATCCCTAATGAATTCGACTTATAAGTGGAACAATTTTATTCATATATACAATATAATATCAAGATCATCTATTCAATATACACAAACGGTGGAGCTTCATACCTT